AGGAGAAAGAGAGGGAGCAAGTCGCATTGAAGGAATCTTCCACGGAAAAAGCTGCCTCCATTACCACAGAAAAACGATACCTTAGGCCCCTAGCCTCATGAGCATAGCAAAAAGAACGGAACATAAGCGTTAGTTTCGATAATACTAATCCTACACACAAGACAAAATGATCACTCTTTCCGTGGAAGATTCCTTTAAGGTATCGTTTTCTGTGGTAATGAAGGCGGAGCTTTTCCGTGCCTGGAATGTGATCACCTACAATCGAAACCATGGCAATTCATCTACGATGAATTGGTAGGATGTGCTTTTTTATATACTCAACAGGCTTCATGAGTCTGCGGAGCACGCAGCCGTTGATTTTATAAGTTCCAGAGAGCGTGACGTTGTCAACGACAGGCTGAGGTAAATGGGAGATTCGTTCGAGTTGGAATGTTTTGTTGAATTTTCGCGAAATTTCTTTCGCTCATTCCAAGAAAAGTGTGGTTTATGTATTGACAGCAAAATATCTTTCGAGATTCTTATCATCTATCACGGTTTGGAGATCAAATACTAGGTCGTATATCGTCAGGGCCAACCTGAGCCTTCCATCCTTTGTAGTCGGTTAATTGGTACCAGACTTGTGTGTGGATAAATTACTGACTTGTACATCGGCTGGCTCCCAAAAGTCGTTGTATAGGGAAATTTCGGAGTACCACCACGATTCTAAGGAATGGAATGCGTGGCGAATCCCTCAAAGGGACCGATCAATGCCAAATGCCCGTTTCTTTCTATTTTAATTTCATCTGACTCGATATAAAGTAGAAGATATTTCCGACGAAATAAATAATCTTTTATAGCGAAACTATGGAGAATAATGCACTGGGCTTCGACCAATCAGTTTCTGGGGTGTTCTATGCATTCTACTTCAATTCAGAACCGTAGTGTCATTTCGATCGTATACAGATTTGCAGGGTCAGCTGAAACACAACAAATGCTTTTATCCTTCTTGACAAGTCTGGTGCCAATCAATTAACCTCGGAAGGATAGAACGCCCGAATGGTCCAAGGGAGATTGAATCCGGGGTTAGTCCCCCACACCACCGAATGGCTCCAACTTATTATTGAAGAGCACATTCATTCTATAAGAAAATCTTCATAGTGGCCACCTACGTGGACGGCATCAGAAGAATTTGCCCTGGAAACATGGTGCACTGGTCGAGCTCAATGGGGTCTTCGAAGGATCGTGTACCATAACGACCCTTACTGGAAAAGCGAGTTTGAGAGGGCTCACATAGTGGAAGCTAATGTCTCTATGAAGCTGTCCGACATTGAATCAGCATTCCATCAAATGTATGACAGAGCTCCAGGTCGAAGCAATAAGGTATTCCTTGAGTTGAGGGACGTAAACAATATGTCAAATATTCTGAAGAGTGGAGAATTAAAGAAGAGCCTAATTGAGTGGGGATGAACCTACTTAAGAAGAAATTTGGAAAATTACTGTCGAGGAGCTTTTGTCACGAGACGGCAATCTGTGCCAAGAAAAATTGACCGTGGTGCGACATGGGCAAAATGTCTTTTTTTGCCCCCCCCCCTCTCCCCGCTCCCCCTCCTCTATAAAGAGGCAATAACAACAACCGAAGAAATGACCAACGACGTCGCCCTCGATCTATGCATTCGCATTTGTGATTGCAGCAGAGGCCGGGACGCTCTCAAAAACTAATAGCTTTCATATGCGATTTCCGGAAATAATCTTCTAGTAGCTGCCTGATATCTTAGCACGCTTGCTGATCAAAAACCACCTTGATGAGGCGTTTCCCCGCTCTCCCTGGAATAAACACCATCGTGATGCTCGAGTGTCCCCGGTAGTCAAAATAAGCCGGACAACAGCTTCAGTTATAGCCGTCACCCTGGTGAGAGACGCCAAGCTATGGAGAGACCATATCAGAGCATGGACACTATAAGGTGTGACAAGAATAGACTTATTGTACACTCTTGTCCCCCCTCGCCAAGTTATGAGCTATGGCGGCCTATTTTCGAGAGACAGCCCGTAAGAGGGTAACATATTCAACAAGCAAAGTAGCTTACTTAGGTGAGGGGCTGGCGCGACGAAAAATCGTAGTGGAAAACAAGATGTTGAGAGGTGAGAGAGTTCCGAACAACAATAACAGCAACAGGCTTCCTGGGCAAAAGCTGGCCGAATTTACACTTCATTTGCTTGTGGTAGGTAGGAACAACTTTTGTTGTTGCTTCTAGCAGTAAATAAGAAAAGCTAAATATCTATTTTTGGAAACATTCCGATTTTTCTAAGTTGGGGAGCTTTTCCTCATTAACTGCAAGCTGATGAGGTTCCCAAATGAAATCGTAGAATTGGACAAGAATAGATTGACTTTGACAGCCCAATTCTTACTGGAATTGCATCAATGTCAATGGAATGAGAGGGCGAGGTTTTCAGTTCAGGAATATTACCATATTGAGATGAGCCGCATAATCAACTCTATAAAAGATCCAAGAAGTATTTCGACCTTTCCAGGCTTACGAGTAGCAGTCTTTACTTTTATGGCCAATGTCTGTACCCTCCCAGGCAGGGAGAGCCGAGTGGTTAAGAGGTTAGACTCATGTCTGCACCTCTGAAAACCGCGAGTTCGATCCCTGCCGAGGTTAACCATGCCTTGCAAAAATTGCAAAAATGGTTCTAGTACCAGCGTCAGGCCCAGGTTGACAGGCCGGCTGATGAAGCGCCCCAGTCACACCAATCATGTCTCAGAGTCACAAATCAGTATTGACCTTACTGAAGTCAAGGTTACAGCGGAAGATGCCCTGGATAGAGCAACATGGCGACGGCTGGCAAAAACAGTGGTCCCTGTGACTGCGCAGGAGTAACACAGTAACACCAAGGAGAAGGAGATGATGAGGAGGAAGAAGGAGAGCTTTACCCTTCCAGATTCCTCTTATGGAATCCTACCGAACTTCTTCTGTGGTGTGAAGTGAAAAGTGTTTCTGTCACTACGGAGGCAAGAATCCTTCGAATGAGTATAATAGACCTAGTTAACCTTCCTGGTGTTCTCAACCCACTGGGTGATTAGTTGACAATCATTGCTACTAGTTTTTGCTATGAAGCTGCTATTGTGAGCTTTTCTAGTAATCGCCCGCGCAACAGTTGAAGTGAAAAGTATTTTGCGCTAATTCTATTTTGTACCCTCGCTACTGCGAAGCCTTATATCACAATTCAGAGGAAAAGACTCAGTTTGTAAAGAGAATAAAAAGGTGAATCATGTGCAGCTCATTCACTCAGATACGCTGGACTGAACAGGGGCTTACGGAAAAAAGCTCGAGCCAAATAAAAGCAACGCCCATGGAAACTCCTGAGAGGGGCGGACCACGAAGAACACCTCATATTCTCCAGAAGAGTATCAACCCACGTGACCAGGGTGACCATCAACAACACGTGGTTACCATCATCAAATAACATAAAGCATCAAATCATCAAATAACATAAAGCATCAGACCTTTGCCGTCTGCTTGAGGGTGGAGTCCTTGGGAAGTTCAATGTGTCGAGGCTCGTACTGCTTGAATTGCGGCATTTCGGCAGCCACTTTTCCAGGAGTACGCTGAGGTGCTTTCGCTGGTTCTGGAATTGTTATTTTGACTCAAAGATATTTTATTTGTTACCTTCAGCCCTCATTACCATTGACTTGCAACGGCACTGGATCAGGTTTGGGCTTGACCTTTGGAGGTGGTCCAGCTGGAGCTGGCTTGGCTGGAGGAGCAGGTGCGGTTTTGGGGGGAGCAGCCGGAGCGGCCGCAGGTTTGGCCGGCGTTTTCGGCTGTGCTGCTGGAGCTGCTGGCTTCTGCTGGGCTGCTGGCTGCTGGTTCTGTGGCTTCTGCTGGGCTGCTGGAGCTGCTGGTTTCTGCTGAGCTGCTGGAGCCGCTGGCTTCTGCTGAGCTCATCTGGAGCTGCTGGTCTGCTGCGCTTGTGCTGCTTCTGGCCTCTGCGCGCTCAAGTCTTGGCTTCCTTAGCCCCTTTCAACGCCTCTGCTTGAGCCTTCTTTTGCCTGTGCTTCATCTGAGCTCTTGCCTCGACTCGCTTTTTGCCGCCTTGTCTGTCCTCTGACCTTTTGCTTTAGTCTTCGGCTGCGCTTGTGCCTGAGCTGATTGGCTTGAGCATCAGCTAACGCCTTTGCTTGTGCTGCTGCCTTAGCCTTCTCTTCCGCTTCCTTCTTAGCCTTCGCCTCGGCTTCAGCCTTTGGCTTGCTGAGCCTTTCGAAGTGCTTCCTCTTGAGCCTTCTTCGCTTGTTCCTCCGCAGCTTTCAATGCTGCTTCTTGTTGTGCTTTCAGCTGCGCTTGCCGCTGTTCGGCTGCCTTCCGCTCCGCTTCGGCTTCTGCTCTGGCCTGAAAACAATAAGGTTTGGTTTTGCAATTATATTTGGAGGCAAAACTCTTTCTGAACTGTTTCCAGAGCTTTTGAAACTTTGATGCATTGAAAATGTCTTAGATTTATTGCTCATTCACCCGGGGTGATCGTTCTGGATGAATTTTTCAGCAGACGGCGTGGGCGTGCATATTTGCCATAACATCGAGCTGATTAAACCTTATTTGCCCTTTTTGACAAAGAACAGCAGCGCTGTATAATCGAAGGAATAGTGCACGGAGAATTCTAGTATTTTTTGAAATATGTCAGTATTAAATAGCTTAGTTCGAAAAATCGCACCCTGTGGAGGCAAAACCATCATCCCGTTCGCTGCTATTGGGGCCTCTTTACTAACCGTCCAGAATATCCAAAAGGCGCCAAACTTTCTGCCCGCATGCTCTCAGTGCAACATATAGGGAACAAAAGCTCTACAACTTAGTTTACTTCCGTAAGCCCCCCGACATGCATGGCGAACGCCAAACGGGGGTAAGCTTATAGCTATCGCGTGAGCAGAACTATCCACCTCAAGACCGTTCTCATCCACTCTACACAAGTTAATGCTCAGCCGTGTGTGCTGAAGGAGGAGTCAAGAATACCATCCCCTGAGCTGTAGAGAGTTCTGCTTCTAGCTGATAGCGTCCCAACAGAGAAAATCGTTGCCAGGCAAAAATTGATGAAACAGGATAAAACCGTCAGTTCGTCTACTTTTCTCCAATTATATCCGCGATCTTCCCCCTTTACAAGGTCCTAATTCGATGGCGACTCTCGACCACAAAAAAATCTTAGACCCAAACCTCCTCCCCCCACTTTCATACGATACGCCCCTACTCCCTAACCCGCTATCATATCAACCCTGGGAGCGAGAGACTAAAATATTTAACTGAGCTACACCCGGCGGAGCGCGAATCTTAAAACCTGGCTATCTCACACTCATCGATCCCACCCATACTCGCCCACTTCTTCTCAAAAACAGTGGTTAAGCGGGAGGGAGGGAGGTTGTTGTTATCATGAACCAGCAATCCTATTATTAACTCTCGACGAAACCCGTCAAATAGAACCCACTCCAGTTTTCACACTTTTCCCAGATTAATCATTCTGCGAGAGCGACCCTCCTCCTCCTCAAAATCAAAGTTGCGACCCTTTGTTCGAAAAAGTGCGAACGGCAGCTGAAACCTCGTGGGAAGCACCATGGTTTTTCATTGTCGCGAACTATCCTAATCTCCGGAGTCGCGAACTATTGAACGCGACCTAACATGGAATAGCACTGGGACAGAAAAAAAAAACGAGGTACAGATGGAATGAAGGTATTTCAGTGGTATCCTCACAAATCGACGGTGCTTCGATCCATACTTACCTTCCGGGTAATAACACCCGACGGTAGAAAACCATGACATTTCACTTCAGCGAGTGACTGCTTAACGGCAAGAAAAACAAAAGGCAGCAGCATTCTGCTGAGGTGGTAGTGCTGAGGACTTGCGTGGGCGCAATTAGACAGAGACCGAAACCAATAAGATTGCCCCATCCTAACTAAATGCATGAAAGTTGCATAGTTTGACTGCAGTACAGCTCAACACGACCGAAGGTGCTCAGCCAGCGAGACGACGCAGAAAGACCATCAGTAAAATCAAAGTTAACGAAATCCGTCTGCTGCTTTCATAGAACTCGAGACAATACTCCCTCCGTACTTTGCTATTGCATTACTATCCTAGCGATTTCTTGAAGAAAGATTCCACGATAAGATCGAAGGTCGAATAAGGGAAACTCTCTAGTTTGGAGACGGGCGGGCCCCTCAAGGGTGCAGACCTGTTACACAGTTCGCAACGAAGGATATGAACGATCTAGCATGGCCCACCTCGAGCTATCGGCGCGTCACGCTCGCTGACTGTTTAAAGCACTCGTCGCAGTGTCTAGCCGTTTGGCAGAGAGAGTGCTAGCGTTGAAGAGGGCAGCACCGATGAGAGGCGCATTAATGTGGAAATCAACGAGCAAGGAAGGGCCTCATTTCTCGGGTCCCGAGCCATTTCTCAGAATTCACTACACCACACGGCCACTCTCTCTACTCACGTTATTTTTTAATAAGCTGTCGCTTCATCGTAAAATCCGCTTCTCATTTCAACGTTATCGATGTTGAAATTATTGTTTATACTTCACTGCTTCCGCTTTTCTTCTCATCTCCTCTTCCATTTGTCGAGCATACTCCTCTTCCTGAAAATTGTGCTATTAATTTTGAGAATAAGTGGAATAGTCAGAGGTAATCAAGGATGCTGCGGGGTTCTGAGGTAGTTGTGTGATCATCTGCGTAATTGCACAATGTGAAAATCTCGCTTCCTTAGCAGCTCCCGGCTCATTTCCTTGCATTCACGACCACTTGTTTTTCACACTTATTTACTCATCGCTAGACTTCATCGTAAAACGGGTTGTTTACCACCTCACCCAAGACTGGGATTGAAGACTTAGTAGAGTGGGATGAGTATTCGCTACTTAGAGGAAAAACGTGGGGTGGGGGCTGGGTAGGTTATTTTCATCGTAGACTTATACGTTGCCAGATTTGCCTTCATCACCATTTCTGTTAACGCTATGTTGAAAAACGGCAATAATGCTTCTTTTAAAGGGTAGAATTACAGGTAATCAGTATGGAGGGATGAATTAACTCGAATAAGATAAACAACATTGGTTCAACAATCAACACCACACTGACAATGCCACGTTGTTAGTTTTGTCAGTCACCAGTAAAGGAAACAGATTAGCTAACTGAAAAAGTGAGGAAGGCAAAAGAGTTTCCCATCGTGTCTGCCTCAGACCGACACTGTTTTTCATCATGTCCATCATAACATAAAGTAGGCATTAATCCCACGCGCGTAATACCATATCAATTTTTCATCAAGTCTCGACTCACACAGGAAATAGAAAATTAATGGGACAATAGAGTCTAATCGAAGTTTGCCACTTAAATCGGTCAAAAAGGGTAATGATGGCGAATGGTTTTTGTTTGAAACTGTGAAAATGATTCTTAACTATTCAGAGCAGCACGACTCAAGAAAATTGCGGAAGATCTTGCCGAATGGTTTCGAGCAAAAAAAGTCACAAGACTTGAATTACAGGCAACCGCTCGCTTACGATGAGCTTCACTGATGGCGTATCGGCGTTGGACAACAAGAGGCTTATCATATACCTTCACAGGGTATTCTCTCCATAGGAGAGAGCTCTATGTGACTTTTCTCAACCTTTATTCCTTCTCAACGTGCCCCTTTTTATGGAATTTTCACCCCCAAAAAATGAGCCAAGAGAGCAATGATCACAATAGTTGAAGAACTCTGTCAAAAGAAGACATCGCTCCACTCACAAGGGAGGTCTTTCAGGGCAAGGTGCGCTTTTTCAAAACGGTTTTGTGCATATTGTAGGGACGCATGTAGGGAACGCAAAACCATGTTTCATTTTCGCTGAACGGTTATAGCAGTAAAAAGAAGCATAAGGTACTGTTAAGGGTTCGATCCCCCGTGGCGACTAAATTTTGCATTTGGGTTGGCGCCTACGGTTTGGTGCCAAATCGCGCTAAATATCAAAATCAGATGTCAAATTCATCGTCAGGACCATTTTGAAGCCAACAAGTGGCCGCCAACCTTGATTGCAAAATTTAGTCGCCGCGGGGATTGAACCATCAAGAGTATTATTCACCACTTTTTTGGTACTACTAAAACCGTTCAGCGAAAACGAAACATGGTTTTGTGGTCCATACATGCGTCCCTACAACATGTACTAAACCGTTTCCAAAAAGCGCACCTTGCCCTGAAAGACCTCCCTTGTCAGAGTGTTGCATTACTGTGCCTTCCGGGTAGAGAAGTGAGCGACGGTTTGTAGGGGATCTCCATTGAAACAACCCATTGATTCGAGGAATATGTTCAAAGGGAAGCAAAAAAAGTGATTATCATGAAGAATAGGTCTAAGTTAGCGCAAGGAACGTTCTCTGCTGGATAACAAAAAGGGGATCACTCCACGGCGTTTACGTGGTCGTCGAAAAGGAAGCTTCAGCGGACACTTACAGTTAGTGTGCTGGTGTCTTTCTGAGATTGATATTGATGGTTAGGATCCCGTGGGACGATAAACCCCCAAAGTGAGTATGACAGGAGACTTTCACCATCAGGGTGTGTATGAAAGAAACAATTATTCAAATGAGTAGCAAGAGTCGAATGACCGGTATTTTTTTCGATTTGGCCGACTTTAAATAATAAATAGTGACAATTTTTCTTCGTCTATAACGCGGATGTTGTTGTGCACATTTTTGGTTTTTTGTAGCATGTGGCCAAAAACAATTAGGCACAATTGGTTCTGATTGAACCAATTGAAACACTTACACATATGACTCCAAGACAACATCTTCGCTTCATTTCTGAAACCTAGTATAACATCTGAAGCAAAAGGCTTAGGCAGCCTAGCCCACGGAGCAAGGGCAGCCTTAGTCTTCTACTATTTCACCTAGGATGGCATCTGCCCATAACAACAAGCAATAGGCCAAAATAGCAAACAGCCTTCTCCCTGAAGGAAGCTCAAAAAGCTAAAGACTTATCGTTAGTATTTTTTGCCAGTAAACCCACGAGTGGTTTTTTTTTCGGTCTAGTCAGCGAAAAAGCTTGAATAGCGAACTAGTTCTTGAGTCATGTTTTCATATGGCTAAGAAAGTTCAGATATGTTCTGTTTTGGAATAACTGTGGGCTACGCCTCTAAAATGTCATTCATAGTTTCGAGATATGCAATTTCCCAACCAAAAACCTTCTGTATTTAATGAAGAAAAATGAACCGTTATTTTCCAATTTGGGTGGTTCTTAACTTATTATCACCGCTCAAAAGTTTTCGGACAGTGATCTGGCACCAGTGGGTAAACAACCGATCCAGGAGTCCAAGTTTATTTGGCTGAGAACAGAGCACGCCATATGGCTCAGTTTCAACAGCTGTGCATATTCCTCACCAACAGACAACACCATGGTTAAAGGTACACTAAATTGTGACAAGAGTGAGCCTTGTCATGCAAATATTCCCACCTTATTCTGGTTTGATGCGGGTGCGGCAGCTGCTGCTGCTGCTCTGGCTGCAGCGGCTTGTTGAAGAGCAGCGGCTTGCTGAGCCTTGAAAAGCTGTTATTAATAATGTGATCATTGTGGCTTATTGTGCTCCGAAGTAGGATGTAATCAAATAATTATTCGATTTTTTCGTGGAAACCTTCGTCAGGCTTGATTTTATGCACCCACAACTTTGCATGAAAGCCACTTCCTGCCTTCCTCTTATTGCCCGGCAAGACTCCATAAATGTTTTACATTACTTACCCCTCCTCGGCAGGCGAACCGCACCTGCACCGTGAACTTTTTCCTTTCATAGGCACACAGTAAGGCGACAGTGACGGCTGTCAAAACGAATTGTGAAGGGCGGAACACGGCGTAAATGTGGAGAACCCGCTAGCCTGCGCATAGGCACCGTGAGCCATAAAGAGCCGATGTTAAAAGTCCCGAGGCAGGATTGGGCAGGTGGAACCATACTGAAGACCTTTCATCACTAACAATTTCCAGGATGCGCTCAGAGGGTGTTTTGCGCGCACCGTCCAAGGCTTCTGGCCTACTACTTTCAGCGATGGGTTCGTTACATCAGCTGGTCCCGCCCACCGCGGGATGTGGTGCGTGGCTGGCCTAACGTGTGAGATCAGCTAGGTTGATTGCCGTATCAACCGATGGAACGGCTGGCATATCCGGAAAACTCGTTTGGACGTGGCTCTCCCCCGAGCAAGCCTCCTTCACTGCTAGAAGGGAAGGGGTTTCGATTTCGGTCTTGTCGACGGTTTCTTTGCGTTTTTTCTTCACTGTCGTTCCACCTCCCATCTCTACACTCAATTTCAGGCGCCATAATGCCCAAACACGAGCCTGACTTTTGCCTTTAAGCAGAATGAAATGGAAGCACTTGTAGGGGTATTTGCAAAAAAAAATGTATAAGGCGGAGTACACTACATATACGCTGGAGGGCGACGTGAAGTATGAAGGCTGATTTCAGACTTTGCGAATTATTATTCGCTAGCGCCCGCGGTCACGCTGCGCTGTCAGCGAATTCGCAAAGTCTGACGTCGTCGTAAAGGAGACATAGGCGCATGGCAGTTCCGAGAAAAGAGAGAGGACAAAAAGAACGTAGAGGGGTGAATAAGAAAATCAATGAAATGGAAAATTGTTGATAACAATAGATACTCGAGTGAAGTGAAGACAGGGTAATGAAGACAGCGTGGTCTCTCAGGGGTCTCGCCGAGCAATGCACATATTCATAACGGATATTCCAAGGAATACGAAATAAGTAGACGAAATCGGAAATTCCAACTCCCCTCTTCATAGAACCTCGAAATTGGTGCTTATTTCTATGCATTTCTTTCGTGAAGAGCTTTGCACGCCTAGGCGGTAAGCAAATTTTTCACCTCAGAAAACCTCGTTTCGTCGAGAAAGCATCAGAACTGAGAGAGGAAATGACAAGAACCCATATCAAATACACTTGAAAAGCATGGACATGGGGTATGGTTGTAAATGATGAAGACGAGAACGAGCAATGAAGATTGTCGCTTGTGAAGAACGATGTCAAACGAAACAAAATAGGATAACATAACGTAATTGCAGAACAGATGAGTTCAAGCAGAGCATTATATTTGCGCTTGTGCAGCAGACAAATGCGAGCGATACAAAACAAGAGTAAACATAGGGGACAATAAAGCAACAACAAGCCGTTGCTGTGGGTGATTGGGCTATTATTTGGGCTACCAACAGAAATGAATGCTATCAGACGACTCGAACTGAAAGCTATGTCAAGCGACATGAAGCCATAGCAGTCGGGCGTGCGACAACCTGAGGCCATAGGTGCACGTGCAGCGAAAGCAGCAGCTTAAGAAGAGAGCTACCCTTCCCTTCAAAAAACGAGAAGAGCGTCGGGTGCAGACCATACACCACAAGTGACGACGGCCTCCAAGTAAATCTGGTTAGTAGTGGTTCATAGTGATAGCTGATTTTTGGTAAATGATAGTTGTAATTAGTGACAACTGATAGAATACAACTGCAACAGGCTAATCATTTCATTGGCAGAAAACATTTACATTTTGTGGAGGCCGTCGTCACTTGTGGTGTATGGTCTGCACCCGACGCTCTTCTCGTTTTTTGAAAGAGAGTTTACATAAAGCATCCTAGGCAAAAAACACTCGATGCATGGCAATAAGCGAGGTACTGTAAAACCAGACCTCCTTTCCCGGAGTGGCGCCAGATTCATGCATCTGAAATCATAACGATCTGTTTAGTACTGCTGCTCCCTCTCGCTGTCGACCC